CTTAAAGTACTAAACTATTATTGCACTGTGTGTATACCTCAATCAACATAAAAAATAAAATAGCACGGATAACCTCAGCCATTGTACAACAAAACGGTAAAACGGAAATAAAGACTAGCACATGGACAAGCTCCGAAGTGATGCGACGCCATTCTCGCTGTGTTTAACGAACGATGAGGATAGCTGTTCCCCTACATTTTGTCAACATACCAACAAGTACTACACAGTGTTGATTGTACGTGAGACTGACGATAGTGGACGTCTACCCAGTCCTTCATGGCCAGTTCGTCCCGAGGTACGAATTCACGTCTAATGATGGCGCTATAGTAGTTCTAATCAAACGGTGTGCTAGTATTTAACTCATCCCATTCTTCACCCCCGTATAGTACATGTAAATTATAGTCAGTTACTACTACATTTTCACTAGTAGTCTCTATTTATCCTCGACTTGATCTTTTAACACCCCAGATCACGTGCTTCCTTCTAAAACTAACTCGCACAAATATCTAATGCATCCATCTTTTTTTTTTTAGTAGGCCACCTCCCTCAAGTTTCGGATGCTTGAAAACCCCATTTCTAATTTTGTTTACGTGCTGTCTAATATATTTGTTATGTTCGTTACATTATGTTAAATGGCTATTTTCGGTTCGTAAACATGACCTGCTGACCGTTTGTTAACCTATTTTGGCCAATACCCAAATTTGTTAGCCAAATATCCTAGATTAGGTTAATAATATAAGACCCAGAAACATAAAAAATTCGAAGATTAAGAAGTTGGAAGGTTTCTTTGTTCAAGATCTTGTGTCCATCGACATCTGTCCCTAGGTTTAATTTAACTATCTGCTACAATAGGTGATGGACTTAGCATCGTTAGTTTGTGTCCAGATCATTGTTATGGTATAACAATAGAAACACAAGTACTAAAAAAGTACTATACCACTTCATACCTGGTATTGACACACTACCATTTGCCATCTGGTTTTCTCAAATTGTCCTAAAAAAATGGGGCTATAATATTGTCAGTTTCTTTATATGTAGAATAAGACAAAAAATATTATAAACAGAACTTAATTTAATATTTATATAAACAACTCAGGTGTAAGGTAATAGGTCAAATATTTCTTCATACTTGTTTATAATTTTCATTCTTATCTTTGTCTAAATATACTCTGCAAATCAGTTTCTAAACTTAATAGACCAAACTCAAAGATTGTATTTAGTATATGCATCTATGCTATTGTTAATTATGTATAGAAATATTGTAATTAGTGTTCAATCAGTAATTTACCTAAAGATAATGTGATATGTACCATGCTGTTTACTATTGAATTTAATAAAAGTACTTACAATAGTAAAAGTATATTAGTATAAATGAATTAATTGGTACCTAGACCAGAACTAATGAATAAGTATTACTATATTTTAACAGCTTCCTGAAATCTAATTCTTTCTTGTTATTGCTTAAGATAATAATGATTACCAACTGTGTTGTTATTTATTTACAAATGAAACTAAACTATTATAATCCAAATCATACTAATAAATTATTGATAGATACACATAAAATGGAAAGGAATATGCATTTATGTAATTTATTTACTACACAGGAACCGGATATACAATATATGTCATTATTAAGATTTACTAGTAATTAGAAATATGCAATTTATTGTGAATCTATTGGTGTATGATAGATTGACATGTTTCTAAATATTCATAAATCAAATCATACATGAATATAGGGACTCAAAGAATAAATAACTCTATTCAGAAATTATTCAATTTTTTTATATGGAACATATGATAACCCACTATTAAATATAAGAAAGACTTTTGAAATGATTATGCAACAAGATCATAACAAAATAAGTCATTATTAATAACAGTCTTTATGCAAGATTATGCAAGTTCAAATATCTATGTTGACCTTACTAAATTAAGTATGCAATAAATCAAACTTACAAGAAAGGAATATGCAACATAATTCAAATTACAATTACATGTATATAACTTGTAATCAAACCGTACTTATGAAATATAATACTTCATAAAATGAAAATGAAAAGTGATTACAGATGTTATCCATTGAAGCATTATTCAATTTTTTTAATTACATAGACTACTCAATTAAATGCTTTGATGTATTCAATGAAGGTATTGATGAGTCAAGCCTGTTTTTAACATATATTTAACATAATTAATTACAGTCCAATTCCTCCAGTTTGATCTGGAAATTTGAATTGCAGTTTAGAGGCGTACTTATTTCTGTACACATGTTTCAATTTGTATTTTTTGATTAATGATTATATTTTAATTGAAATACAAAAGTGGAACAAAGAGCTACAGATGACAAACTTTTTAAAGGCATACCCTATATAATTCCAAAATATAATTTAAAATACTCTCAGATCATTGGATGAGGCTCATTCTATTTTTAAATATAAAGTTTAAAGGTTATAAGTTGGTCTATTTTATACACCTGACCAGTGTCACCTTCTTTCTTTGGTACTTCATTGTTGTGAGTATAATATGTTTACATTTACTACCAATTTTGCAATATTTTACTAGAACTCTTTAATGCAATTTATTCAATTAATTATTGAGTTTCTTTGATGTTTGATTGTAGTTATTCATAACTATATTCATTTCATTTTTTAAAATCAATAATTTATGATAATTGTGAAAGAACATCAGAAGGCAAATTGTCACATAAGATATCTTTTATTACTATAAATTATTAAGAAAATTAACATTTAGTTTAAACTTGTTTAAAAAGGCATATTCTAAATATCAATAAAGATTTATTGATAAACATATGGTTTATAAGTGGTAAAGTGTTAACAAAAATGTATCTGTAAGATTGCAGAATGGACTAGTTGATTAAACTATTAAAAAACAAATTTCTTTGATTAGGAAATAATAATTCAGTGGGTTAATTGAATAATGTTTGACCAAGACAATCGTCTATTAGTTATACTCTCTAATCAAATATTTAAAAATAGGTTGTTTTAACCCAGACTTTTTGATAATTAAAAAATTATGTAAGCTATATTAGATCGATATATTGTGTCCTGCAAGCAGTTCAATAGTGAAAACTATGCCATCACATGCGCAGAATGTAATAACGGAGATGTCCGGAAACTGTTGTCCGCCATTACTCTCGTGTCCATTGTTAACTTTTAAAAGATCAGGTCATGCATCGTTGCTTCTAGGTGACCTTTATCCCAAGATAGGAAGGGCCAGTTATTTTCCCAGTATTTCTTTCATCTGTTTCATTAAAAACGAAGAACCCATGTGTTTATGAAAATCGTAGAATTACCAAATTGGTTAACAGTGTTCTTTTTCATCGTATCTTTGGTTAAATAATTGATTATAATCTTGATCAATAATCAGCCGAATTCCGAAACATTTTGTCCCCGTGGATTATATATTTTGATATTTACCTAAATAATCTAGATATTGATATAGTGATTAACACTTTATTCAAATATATATATAATGTATATGTCATTATGATCATTAATTTGCAACTTTTCTTGTGAATTGTTTGTGATTGATTCACTTCTCAATATTTTGTATGTAAACTGTTTTGTTTTTTAATTATGTATTTTGGATCTTTTAAGGTTATTTCTTATAGATGCCTTTGGACAACATAAACCATAATTTACAGATTCTTTGTCAACCAAATGTCAATCTTTGTCAATCATTCTGTACTGATGTTTAGTTAACCAAAGATATCATTCTGTACAGACGTTTTGTTATCCAAGATATCACTCTGCATAGATTCTTTGTTATCCAAAGGTATCATTTTGTAGAGATGCTCTGTTATCCAAAGATATCATTTTGTACAGATGCTCTGTTATCCAAAGATATCATTCTTTAACATGTTCTGTTATTCAAAGATATCATTCTCTACAAATACTCTGCTATCCAATGAAATTATAGTGCCCAGATGATCTGTTATCTATGATCAATTGTATGTAATTGCTTTTTGATGTGAAAATACTATATGTGGTTGCATTTTAAACTATTATCACAAAAGATGATGATATTGATAAGGCTGCTCTGTCATCTTACTAAACATGTTGTACAGCTTCATTATTATCTAAATCTGTACTATAAGTTTTCTGTCATCTAAAGATTTTCTGTGTAGATGTACTATTTTATACAGATGATTGATAATTGATTTTCTACCTTTCTATCACATCAGTTGTTGATATTGATAAGGCTACCCTGTTATCTTTACTTAGCATGTTGTACTGCAATGCTTTGCTTCCTAAAGCTATCATATTGTAAAGATGCTCTGCATTTTAAAGATATTACTCTGTACATTTTCTCTGTTTCCTATTTAAAGATTTACCTGATCACAAAGTGATCTTATATTTAGAGAGCGTTTCCTAGTTTTTTAAAGATACCGTTTTGCTCAAATATTGAGCAATTTCTCTTCAGTATGTTTTACAGATAAAGGGGAGTTTGTACTTTGTATATTGCACATTAGCTCTAGCATATAGCACAACTGTTTGGTGATACATTTAACAGTTGGTTTGTGCTATCTCTGCAAGGAATAAATTATATATTGTTTCACTGTAATAGAGAATGATTTGTAATGTGGAACAATGTACACATCTACTGGCAATCTATGTGATACTACTCTGATTATTAGAAATTAATTGCACATTGCATTGCATTGTTTTGATAATACTTCAAGAGAATCTTTGTGGTATCTGTTCAAATGTTTAGCCTTATCATACTTACAGCCTTTAGCAGCCAAACGATACTTTCAGTCTCAAATAACCTTAAAATAGTTTATATAATCTCAAGCAACCACACAATAGTTTATATAATCTCAAGCAACCACACAATAATCACAGTCTCAAGCATCCACACAATACTTCCAGTCTCAAGCATCCACACAATACTTCCAGCCTTAACCATACTCACAGTTTCAATAAATTACTCGATACTGAGAGATTCAAACAACCACACAAATAATAATATTCTCAAACATCCAAACAATACTTCCAGTCTCAACCAGATACACCATACGCACAGTCTCAAACCATACAGTCTCAAACAACCACGCAATACTTCCAGTTACAATTAATCACACAATACCTATAGTCTCAAACAACCACACGATAATTATATTCTCAAACATTCACACATTACTTCCAGTCTCAAACAACCACACAGTTCTTACAGTCTCAAACATCCACACATTACTTCCAGTTTCAAACAACCATACAATTCTTACAGTCTCAAACAGCCACACAATTTCTCCAGTCTCAAACAACCACACAATATTCCAGTTTCAAATAACCACACAATTCTTACTGTCTCCAACAGCCACACAATTCTTACAGTCTCAAACAACCATACAATTCTTACAGTCTCAAACAACCACACAATACTTCCAGTTTCAAACAACCACACAATGTCTCAAACAACCAGACAGTACGCTCAGTTTCAAAAGAGCACACAATTCTTACAGACTCAAACAACCACACAATACTTTCAGTCTCAAACAACCACACAGTTCTTACAGTCTCAAACATTCACACAGTTCTTACAGTCTCAAACATCCACACATACTTCCAGTCTCAAACAACTACAATTCTTACAGTCTCAAACAACCATACAATTCTTACAGTCTCAAACAACTACACAATACTTCCAGTCCCAAACAACCACACAATACTTCCAGTCCCAAACAACCATACAATTCTTACAGTCTCAAACAACCATACAATTCTTACAGTCTCAAACAGCCACATAATTCTTACACTCTCAAACAACCACACAATACTTCCAGTACCAAACAACCATACAATTCTTACAGTCCTTAACAACCATACAATTCTTACAGTCTCAAGCAATCACACAATGTCTCCAACAACCACACAATTCTTACAGTCTCAAAATAACACACAATTCTTACAGTCTCAAACAACCACACAATACATCAAGTCTCAAACAACCACACTATACTTCCAGTCTCAAACAACCACACAATGTCTCAAACAACCACACAATACTTCCCGCCTTCAAACCACCATACAAGTCTTTCAGTCTCAAACAACCACACAATACTTCCAGTCTCAAACAACCACACAATGTCTCAAACAACCACACAATACTTCCCGTCTTCAAACAACCATACAATACTTCTAGTCTCAAACATCCAGACATTGTCTCAAACAACCACACAATGTCTTAAACAACCACAAATTACTCCCCGTCTCAAACAACCATACAATTCTTACAGTTTCAAACAACCACAAAATGTCTTAAATAACCACACAATAGTATCAGTCTCAAAAAACACACAATACTTCCAGTCTCAAACAACCACATAATACTTCCAGTCTCAAACAATCACACAATTCTTACAGTCTTAAACAACCACACAATACTTCCAGTCCCGAACAACCAAAAAAAATACTCCAGTCGCAACAACAGAACAATGCTTCCAGTCCCATGCAAGAAAACAACACCTCTGGTCCCTAACAACCACATTATACCTATAGTCTCAATACAATACTCACAGTCTCAAACATCACCATGATACTTGCAGTACAAACATTCATACAATACTTACTGTCCCAACAATCATACAATTTGTACAGTCTCATATAACAACACACATCCACTTAGTCTGAAACAACAACACAAATCCACATAGTCTGAAACAACAACACAACATTTACAAAGACTTCTGCAACCATTTTAAATCTCAAAGCACAATCTTTTTACAAAGAGGAGCTTACAAAATCATAATAGTCTAGGACACCCACTTAGATGTGCAACCTTTTACAGTATCCATATCTATTTTAATGACAAAATTAATGTTTTCTTTAAAATTGTACATTGACATATGACGCCATGTAAATTTGTTATTATCTATTGGTGGGAACAATTTTATCAGTTCTGAAACAGTTTTTATATTGTGATGTGATTGTGAATTGTTTATTTTAAACTAGAACAATATAACATATAGACCTCAGTGCTATTACTCTTTACTCTACTCTTTTTACAAAATATTAGAGTCAAGGTTCTTTGAAATATGGGGCAACATACAACTCCATTCTTCCATACGGGTTGATTCTATGGTGATTATATACTGTCTCGTCATTATATATTCTACTCTCTATGTATATATAACTGTCTTTAACGGTAAACTTAACATAATCATGATAGAGAAGCACCGCAAGAAAATCAATGACCAGACATGTACTAATGTTTTCAAACTTGTATATTATTCTATTGGAAATGATTTTGTCTTGGGTATTGTTTATTAACGTCCGGTCAGTGACCCAGTATCTTAATTTATGATAAGAAGCCATTATGATTTTATTTATATTTAAATTTGTCTGTATTACGCCATTAATAACATCACGTGCATGGAAGCATCACGCTAAGAGATGATGTTAGCATTCTTTCCAGTGGTATATCAGGAATGCCATAATAAGCATAGATTATTATTATCTTGTACAGTTTTACATTATAATCATTGTGGGTCAGTGAAAAGAACAATATAGATAATATGAAAGGTAATGTAGACTATCAACCAATACTCAATATCAGATTACTCGTAATGAAACTAGGGAAGATTATTTTTGTTACTATTTCGATCTAACGATTGCTTGATACTCAGGTGGCGCTTTGATTATACGCTAACAACAGACAACAACATGGAACCTAGCGGACCTACTACTACATAATATTTGATATAAGTCGATGAAAACGCTTCTAAATAGACGTAAAAATGATCTCTGATAATTATATTAATAATTCTTTAATCGTTCGTATGAAATCAAAATATCTGAGATTTTCGAGTAATTCACCAGAAAACAGACTTTAATATATTGACTATTAGACCACTCGACGTCTACTATTGTTTATCTACTGATGAAAGTGGTACTTTGAAAATATGAAATTGAATTTACCTTTCCATATGCTTTGTTATTTAATTATCTTCAAGCGATTGCTTTTGCCCCTGAGATGAATTAGCTGTACTATTTTTACCTGTAAATTGATTATATTTATTTAGTAGCATGGAAGTGGCCTCTTTATAAATGATCTGCACAATTTTAAAAAATGACGTTATCTTAACCATCATGTATAGGAAGAATTTATAGTTCATTATCATTGCTCCATCAATTATAACTCTACGAATTCCGTTTTTACTGCATATATTCATGTAAACATACTACCAAGTGGATGAAGCAAATATTTGACCTGCTATGAGTAGTATGGGAAAAAATGAGAAATAATATCATTAAAATGAAATGTGTTTCCTATATCATATTTAGGTTGTACCTGAATTTGTAGACAATATTATGGTAAGATTTGTTTACAATATTACAGTAAGATTTGTTTACAATATTACAGTAAGATTTGTTTACAATATTACAGTAAGATTTGTTTACAATATTACAGTAAGATTTGTTTGCGATATTCACAATATATTGGCTCATGTCTTGTTGAGCACGCTTTTTGGAGTGTACCATTGTCTCTAGCGTGTATGCTTAGCTCACTAGTTTACTAGTTTTCGCACCCTGGTATGGTACGATGAAACCATATGTGCGAGATCATCTGAGGTGGCGATATAGCCAAACCTCAACTCCAGCACCCGCACTGCACTGATGAGGTCCAGAAGACCGAAAGAATACTGTCTGCAGTTATTCACAATATTATATTAAAATTTGTTAACAATATTTTAGTAAGATTTGTTGACAATATTATGGTAAGATTTGTTGACAATATTATGGTAAGATTTGTTGATAATGTTATAGTAAGGTTTATTTACAATATTACAGTAGAATTTGTTTACAATATTCACTATATTATATTAAAATTTGTAGGCAATATTTTAAGGAAGATATGTTGACAATATTGTGTGAGATATGTTGACAATATCATTGTGAGATTCGTTGACAATAGTAAGATTTATTATCAATTGTTCTTGTTATAGCGATTTTATAGTAGCATTTATTACCAATGTTATTATCAATACCTTCAGAGTTTTGAAAATATGCTAAGGAATCATTCCAATGAAATAGTTGACAACATCTGTTGTTAGGTTATAGAGAGTATGTAATAATGTGTCAATATTGTAGAGACATTTTGTGTTAATATTGTGGTAACATTTCCCGTCAACTCATTGACTATGTCATGTTAAAATACATAAAAAATAATTAGTCACAGATTACCATTGTCAGGTTCGTTGACAATGTTATAGGTCATTATTTTTTTAAATTACAGATAAGCATATTGATAAAAATGAGCAATATTTGATAACTGATCTATTTTAGTTTATTTGACATTAGAGTAAAATTAATTGACATTTGCTTTATAAGATTGATTGACAATGCTGTAATACGCTTATTTGACAATGGCCCGGTAAAATATCATATAGATAATATGAAAGGTGAAAAATGAAAGATCTATAGTAAGATTATGTGACAATATTATGGTAAAATTTATTAAATCTTGACAATGGTACATGTATATTAAGATTGTTTAAGAATGGCATAAATTAAGATAATTTGGCAATGGTATATTAAAATTGTTTGACAATAGTATATTAATATTGTTTGATAATGGTTTAACAAAGGTAGAATAAGATTGATTGACAATAGTATTATTAAGGTTATTTGACACTGGTGTATAGTACGATTGTTTGATAATTTTATAGTAAGATTAAATGACAATATTATGGTAAGATTTTGATCTCGACAATGGTATATTAAGATGGTTTGGCAATGGTATATTAAGATTGTTTGACAATAGTATATTAAGATTGTTTTACAATGGTATAGTACGATTCTGGATACCATGGAAAACAGCCAAGTATCAAGTGTAGAAATCATCATGTATGATTTGTTGAGGATTTTGTTGGAAATAATTCTATTGGATAATGTGAAGACTTCGTGAATTGTTGAAATGTCCACGATGGTATTTCCTTTCAAAATCGGTTTATCTGAAGGTCCAGTTTTGAAGAATGGGAAAAAGGACAATGACCAAATGAATGATAATAGCCTGTGGACGTCGGTCTGTATTTCTATAACAATGATAGTTACAATTGAGGACAACAGTCGGCATCTTCCATTGTTAGATGCCACATTAATGATTCCTATTGTAATGTTGCGACTGATTGTATATTGAACCAAATGAAAATTAAATAGACCATGATATTCTCAAATGATGAATGCTATTTCTAAATGAAAAAGCAAGTCCTGAAACTATATACAATTGTATATCAGTAGACTCTGTGTAGACGGCGAACTAAAAAAATCAATACGCTGTAACGGTGCCTGGAGAATTTTCTTCCCTGGATTATCTTTTTGATGGTTAAGAAAATTGTTTTTGATATTAAGATTCTGCCTTATGGAAATATTTTTATATTGCCACTCGCCACTCTTTAGAATGTCAAAGATTTCATTGATCCTTCTGTATATTGCTTGTTTGAATATTTCATATATTAAGACCAACATCTTAAAGATAAATTCCAATGAAATATCAATTCTTTGTATCTTTGTAGTCATAAAACATAATATGTCATTACAGATATAACATTTGATATTTGCATTTGAAATGGGTTTGTTAACTTTATCTTAATGATAATTTTTATGTATAACTTTATGTTTGCAAATGATTTAATTTTGATATTTATTACTAATGATTTTATGAATTTTACAATTTATTGGAATATTCTGATTAAAGACAACCCTGTTTATTGCATTCAGAAATATTGAAACTGTCTGTATATTGTCAAGAGAATTATGTAAATTTTAGTAGTTTTCTTATTTCTTTCTTTATTGTCTGACATTAAAAGAGTTATGTATTGTCGATTCCATATTTTGAGAAGACAGCAAGAAGAAGTGAATACGTTTGAAGGCGAGGAGACTCCCACGAGAGCCATTTTCAATTTATTTAGTGAAGATAAAGTAATCAAGTATATAGTTGGTTTGACAATAGGTATATAACTATATAACTAGTATAGTCTTACTTTCTAACTTTATGGATAACTTTAATGGTAATATCAGTAAGTTGGCAATTATTTCAGTATTCTGACAATATTAACTTTACTTTACCAGACCAATTTTGTCTACTAAACTTCAATTTAATCTCAATTAAATTTTCTGGAAAGGTGAACATGCATTACCGTATTAACGTTAATCAAATAAATTCGTTAATATTTTGATGTGCGCCTTAAATTTACATCAGTATAATTAATAATTGTTTTATTTGTCGTCGTTATGATAAAATACATGATCGATAATTTTAACATACTTATCGATATAAACCACTGATAAATTTTAAAAAAATTTATGTTGATATGCTATGTTTATATTAGGTTTGTATGGTGGCTCAAAAGCTCAAGGTGTCCATGTATTTCTTGTCCTCTTATTGTGAGAAAAAAGTTGATTATACCCTTGATAATGGTTCGGATTAAAAATGTGATATCGAATGAATTTAGGAATAATTGAACATGTTTTATATATGCGGGATAGAATGTCACTGATTTTTAATTCATTATGTTGAAGAGAAACTTGTGATTACTCTTTACATTATTATTGCCCATGGTAATTTAAAAGGTCAGTGGTGGACAATAGCCAAAACAGCGTCAGTTTGATGTTTCAGAGGTTATTCTCCGGTCAACTGGTTAGCTATTGTTTATTTTTATCACTGGAAAACTATATGTTACATTTCCGGCGTTTTGTAGTCGCTGTACAATTTCCGTTCACCGATATATTGAGTATATGGTCCACATTGGGTGTCTGTATAAAAGACATTCCACGTGTGTTCTTTGATATGATACCAAATTCTTACTTTAATAGACTTACTTAGCCTCAAATTATTTCTGGATATTGAAACATGTGTGTAAACAAAAACATGCAGAACTCAGTGCTCAGAAAATTTTTGAATGAATCAATTATTGAGAAAATGGTAGATAAAATTATTATCCATATTAAATATGTGTGTGTGTTAAGTGCTATATTGTTGAAAGTATTTTTTCGCGCCATCTGTAATATTATGCAGGCCTATTGTCGTAATTTTGAAATGAAATGTTTTGAAATAATATTATTATTAACACGAAAACCTTCCAGTAGATAATTTTATAATCATAAAATATTATTATATATATCATATTAAGATGCAAAAAGGTAAAATGAAAAGTCGAACATGTCGTATAACCATTTTAAAAAAAATTCCCGCCAAGCCTAGTGTTTGCAAAGTATGAAATTTGTATAGTTGGTTTTGATTGAAATAAATTGTGACTTTTTATTTAAATTTCAGGTGGGGGAGGCGGCCGAAAGAGAGGACATTGTAAGTGGTTTAATGTAGCTAAAGGGTGGGGATTTTTAACTCCAGATGACGGATCACAAGATGTATTCGTTCATCAGGTAAGCATTTTTAATTATCAAAATTTAATTACACATACCACATAGCAAAGTATCGAACTAGTTTTTTATATAGTTTAGTAAAATTTGCATGTATATCTGTGCGTTTAAATCCTGCAGAAAATTAACGACATATTTAATTTTTACGTTTACAGAAAATTACAGATAATTATTTTTCTTATTTTTTGCAAATTTTTCTTTTTATATATATTTACGAATATTTGCATAATATTTTCAAAGCCAATATATTTTGCTGTAATGATAATTAAATAATTCTTAAGAATTCAAATTCCAGGAGATATTTTTGCATAATTATTAGATTAAAATGATATATATGATGGAATATTTTATATACAATGTAATATTTTTGGAATTAAAAGATAGTATAATTATATACGAAATAAGATTAAAATATCAAATTTGGAATAATTTTTAAATAAAATATAGCCCAAAACAATTATAATTTTTGAAATCTGATTGTTATAAAATGAATTTAAATATAGAAAAATATATTTATTTAAATAATTACTGATAGATTTAAAATGTTTTTATAAAAAATTATCAAGGCTGTATTTATTTTGGTTATTGACCAGGCAAACATTGTAAATAATTTCTATAATGTTTCATAGGCACTTTATTTTGATTTAATTCCTGAAAACTTTTAAAAAAATCAAAACATATTACTCTTTTGTGTGAAATTGTAATTGATTGTGAGAAAAAAATTGAAAATCTTCCTTATGGAATTAAATTGTGTCCTATAAATGATGAAATTAATTTCCTATGGATATTGTTGTGTTACAGTCTGTTATCTACAAACAAGGCTTTCGAAGTCTTGCAGAAGGTGAAGAGGTAGAGTTCGAGTCCAAGCCGTCTGGTAAAGGTGTTGAAGCCACCTACTGTACTGGACCAAGTGGATTAGAATGTAAAGGAAGCGATAGAAGACCGATGTCGAGAAAGAAATTTCGTAAAATAAGGTAATTAAATATGTTCCAACAGCTTTCTCTTGTTCAAAACAATTGTCCATTGAGTTGATTTGTTTTGTGTTAGTCAGCTTATATTATATCAATGTATGAAGTCACGTCAGTAAGCTTGTTTCTCTGCACACTTTATTTGACTTTCCGAGTTAATAACTGAATGTTAACCTAGCACCTGGACGTCTCATTACCATACAGTCATATAATTGACCGCCTTAGCTGACCATGGGTCAAACAAAGAAAGCGTGTAGTAATGACCAAGATGTAAATATCCATGGTAACCATGGCAATATAATGAAGCTGGGTCGTCATTTAATCGATGTCTTACTGTCGACTCTATTTTCTTAGTCAAAGATGGCGGCTGTATATTTTAATGATATTCCTGTAGATTTTACCCCTCAATACTATACATCCAATGCTTTCCAGATAATCCCTATTATGATTTGCTATTTTTTATCCAAATTCCGTAATAATAAATAATTTATTTTCTAGATGTTATAATTGTGGAGATTTCGGAACTCATCTCGCTGTAAAATGTCCTCATGGACCTTTACCGAAACGATGTCATAGCTGTAAATCATCCGGTCATCTCATAGCAGATTGTCCAATGCGTAAGAGTCGCAATGATAGCAGTAACGGCAGCAAAGACGACGAATCGAATGAAAACGGAGGTCTTGGCCCAATATGAAGATAAATGGAAAGGGATAAACTTAGGCAGGATAAAAGGCACGATTTTGGACATTTGCAATGAGATTGCAGCCTGCTTCGACGTCATCTTCATGTGTCATGGTGTTTTCTAGGTGCGACGTGTAACGTCACAAAACGTTCGTGTGATTATCATTTTAGAGATAGTTTTGTTGGATTTTTTTTTCTCTTGACATGGTGTTATTTTATGTAATGGAACTTAGCTGTCTTCCTGTTTATCATTGGTGGAACGAATCAGCGTATCGTCCTTCGCGGGCTTTACTTACAGAGACCTTAACTAATAGTGACGTCACTTCCTCATTGTCTCGCTAGCCTAGAGCTACGAGATGGCAATCTACCTCACTAAAGCTCAGCACCGATCAAGTGATATTTTTAATGGTTTGCCATTGTTTTTCGCATTTATTCTTGTTTTTTTTTCTTCAGTTTTGAACGTATGGTGAACGAGCGTTAGTTAATGTATATTTGCCACACACGTATACCACAGAATACCTCGAATTAATGATCAGGTCAAATATCAAATTCAAAATTATTTTAGGAAATTAATCACCATGTTTTGTTCATTTTCAAATTATAATGTTCTCATTATTTCATTATTATCAATTATTAATATCGTTATTATGATAGGCCTATAGTGATACTAGTAGTGACGTCATGTGGTGTGTCGCTTTAATTTTGAAATTGTTTATAATTTCGCTAGTCAATATTTCTACCATTGAAAAATCATTTCACACGACTGGACAATGTTTTGTCCGCCTTAAGATAGATTCTCGATTAACGCGAGACCATGCAGCATTCTCTGGTCAGCAGTGTTACTGATGGAGATTTGGCCAGTAAAGCGTAGCATGGAACGTCAGGTATTTTATCAACGTGTCAATGCGTTTAATGTGAATCAGCCTTTAGTTTATTGTTGTACCTCTGCGGCCCTACCTCTTGCACCTGAAAACCGTGTAACCAATCTAAAATAGTCAAATTGTTTTGTTTGTATATTTTTGATAAGATAACCCATTAGACATAATATTGTGGGTATTGAACAGGGACTTCTTAGTAGAAATTTTGGGGATTGGAAAAAATTAGATTCATAATCAAAAACCCAACCGAAACTGGCGTCTCTTTTCGGTCTACTACCCCCTAAAAAAGTTTCTACTGGGCGATTCCCTTCTTCTACTGCATTGGTAATAGTTTCAGATCATTATTGGTGTCTTAATGCTTTTTAATTGATTTGTTTGTGGTATATTTGAATGATTTTAATGATAAAAGACATAGCGATGAGTTATATATAGGAATTTATTTTAGTTGGTAGTATATACTCGTAGTTTCAGGAACCCACTAAGCTTCAAACCAAAAAAAGGAATCACAGAACAAAAATCGCCAAGAAATAATATTAGTCCCGATTGCGCGTCCTTTATTCTTCGTCTTCCGTCTATCGTAAACTATCTTTTATTTAATCTTGATCTCAAACAATTTTCATCATAATTCGTCTTGACTATATTTCGGAGCAACTATGAATCTATCTCGGTGAACATTGAGATAAATTGAGAAGATTATCTCACAAATAAAAGAAAAAAGTGGAGATAAACTGAGTAAGTTATCTCACTAATTCATAATAACTAAATTTATGGAGATTTTAAAAAATTCTTACGTTCATTTGAGTCTTTTGAAGACGGTTTTTTTATACATTAAACATAGAGAAGAATAATTTTGAGTCATTTTATATAAGAATTGATTCTGTAGAACAATGATATAAAACGAGAGTTAAAATATATAGGATATTTCCAATACGTTGCCACCGGTTACGATGAATTAGCTTATGACGGATTGCTTATCACTTAAAAGGTTTCAACGCTTCAGATTACTTTCCTAAAATAAACGTATTTTGTTGAAAAGAAAAAGAAAAGACTAGTAAATGTTGGTATTAAAGGTGATTTATAGGATGGAAATACCATGAAATTATCTTTATTATTATCACTAATTATCAGTGTGTTTGTCTCTCTCTTTATATCATTGTTAGTATCTAATTAATTCTATTATATTATAGAGGTATTATACCAACAATAAAATCATCACTTTAGTAATAAGTCATTTAAGTTTTTGTTCTTTGTTTTTCAAGTTTGTTATATTGCACAGCTACCTCTCAAGTGCAAGCTACCTCCATATATGGACATCTTGATATTTTTATATGTAGGCTATGCTATAGGGACGGACGCGCTCGATTGTATGATCTGGAGACTTGTATCGGAAATAATTTGAAAATTGGTTCATTATTTTAGTTAATCCTCATTTAACACATTTTATATCAAAATTTAATTATCATTTCGACTACCAAACGACATGAAGGATATAGTATAAGTTGTCAGTTTCATAACTATATCATAGATCATTTATCAAAAATCAGTAAAACTGAGAGAAATGTTTATCAAATAACATCAATATCTCAATATAGAGATACACAATTCCTTTATCTTGTTGATTGAAACAGAAGTTCAGATTGATAAATTGGTTGTGATCATTAGTCTCCAATCAAAATTTTCATTTTATAAAATAAAACTAGTTTAAAAATTTCAAAAAGTTTATATAAGACGTCTGAATGTTAGTTGAAATATTATGGAAATCAATGAATCTAGAAATTAGGAACGAATTCGCATGTATAACATTAAATTGTGTGAATTGGTAGGATTTATCAATATCTTTGTCTACAACAAAACAGTAACGTTGTTAATTTGAGAGGTTATGTTGCTTGTTGTCTAGGCGAAACCACACCTCAGGGAGCATTAAGTATATGTACATTTCCATGTCACTAGAAACTAAGGTGGGGATCCCACATTATGCTTTGACAAAACATACATCATATTGAAATCATGTTTATGATCAACCTAGTTTCATAATTTACTTTGTATTTCATGCAATTCAATGCATATTCCTAATAATATTTATTTACTATGTAATAATCTTTATTCTTACACAATTTTTAGCATTTTTCTTCTAACTTTGTCATTTGGTTAACTTTGATCGAGAGCGATGCAATAGTGGTTCTTTTCATTAAGATGGGTCGTTTGCAATATGCTTTAGATTGTGTCTCGGTTTTGTACTTGAAGGAGGTAATTTTCTTAACAAATTTCTATTATATCATATGACGTTTGAAAGATGTTTAAGGACCAAAACACGAAACTTTGATATGGTAAAGGTTAGCTTCTCAGTGTGCTTGAATGTTATATGATTGTTCAGAACAGCTTAGTTTTTTATGTGCAAGTAATCGAGTAAAGTACTTTATAGGTTTATTATTGAGAGATGTTGCAATTTATATCATAATTATATGTTTAACTATTGAATGAAATTTATATTATAAATTACATATTATATATCTACATGTTAATCAATGCATGATGGCTTAGTGTCACAGAAAACTTTGAAAAAAAACTTTAATGATATGAAATCAAAATTTTAATTATTGGATTTTGGTAGATAAAAAATGAAATGTAGTTAAAGATCCCCACCCTTGTCTTCTACTGATGCATATTGGTTGTATATTTTAAACAAAATGCGAGTTGTCTATTAAAGTGTATGATAGAAATGTTGTTGTTATTGAACAAATTATGTATATGCTCAAGTCCGTATTATCAACAGAATATTTCTGGAATAGAGCACCTATCTGAAAACAGTGTATTTTGACAGTGATATATAAACCCGCTTGACCTTTGTACGGCTTTTTTCGCAAACGATGTAATACATGCAAATGCCTTGTATGGCAACTCTACAAAAGTACATCTCTTGTTATGGTAACTCCACCAGATAGGCGAATATGTACATCCTTTGTTAAGCCAACTCTTCAAACATACACTACAAGCCTACACAACTTGTAATGATAACTCAACAAGCTTACACCACCTGTTTGTGACAAAAAAAGACTGTACCTGCAGAATATGTAATGACATCACTAACTTTGTGTGTACCTAAACTGGAATCGAAAGATAAAAATACACAGTTGAATGAATTATATTTTTTATACCACTTAAAGATTGTTTGCTATGGTAGATCTGTAGAGTGGATATTGGCAAATATAATGGTTTAATCGCGTTTTTGGAGTTTCTATTGCCTTGACTGCCTTTTAGTCAAGGTTGACATTAACTTGTAATCATGTTAACTCGTAGCTCAATGGACATGTTCTATGCAAGAAATGATTAAACATTTTCTTAAACATTTTAAAACCTACTTTAAGTTCCTGGTGAACAATTTGTCGATTGTCGTGGTCAAATATATAGTAGGTATAAGGTTTACCTAGTATTTGTCTATGTCAAAATTCAATATGATTTCACTTAACATTTATTAAAAATGTACGTATGTAAGGAAAACACAGACTGTAACACGCTACAGTTGGCAATTAGGGGATTTTTCTAGTGTGGCATTGGGACGATCTCACCAACATCTTTCGTTTAACTTTGATCCCATCCGAGACCCCATTTTGAAAAAATTTCTCACATTTGGCTGCTCAAACAAAATAGCTGATGGATAAATTCAGTCCAAATGTCGTTTCCTTTCTTATTAGCTTTTGGTATAGTCATTTCAGAGTATGGTCTAAAGACTGGACTCTTGAACATTCGTCAAAATTACCATTTGACCTTATGTGATGACATTTACTTTAACAAATCAAATTCCTTCATTCTTTTACAAAACGCCAACGTTGGAGAGGGTGTAGATATGATTGGTTAAAGCAAGTTAGGTCAAAAGGTTATTTGTTCAAGTAATGTTCAAGAGTTTGGTCCCTACTCTGAAGTGGCTATACTAAATTAAAAACTAATAAAAAAAAAACAAAGGAAAGTTGGGTTTAATTGTAATTGACTGAGACAAATTTATTGTAAGTTTATGTTAAGTAGGACGCCCCTGTAAATGTTCGATTAGACCTTTTATATGATTTATCATTCTGTTTTTTTTTAAGATCATTGACATTCCTTAACTGAGCTACTTTGATCAGTAGAACTTACTCGTATTGTTACTATATTTAGTTATTATTATTTTTCTAGAAGACGAATGGGAGATATCTTACCGCAGATATATCTTCATTACTGGTTTCCCATTTTTCATCATCAAATAATAACCATAATGCTAGAACCAAACAGTTTTTATTATTAATAAAATCTTTGAGTCTCTACAATTTCTACAAAAAGATAGCTTGCAAGGCAAGATAGCATACGCAACTGACGGCTGTCAGAAACGACAACGAGTCCTTAGTCACTAAAGTACAAATATATAAGAATACGATCTTCATAATGCATCTGTAGTTCAAAAATATTGAATTAATATCTCATCAATTTACTGCGCATTATTTATGCTGAGTTTTTCCACAAAATCTACTTAAATAACCCACATAAACTAAATTATTAAAATAGTAAATTTTACCTCTTATAAGTCAAGGCAATGCCTCAAAAGAGTTTCGCAAATTTCAAACATGAACAAGGTCTCAACCTATTGCGTCTTCAAGCCAAAGTTCAAGCATTTACTAAATCACTCCGAAACCTTTCATCTGACGATTACCAAATTTGAACTTATCAACAGATACATGTACACCAAGTTTCACCAATATCGAATAAAAACTGTAGCCTATATATATCGTGTCCTCAAAACACATTTGACACGTTTCAGAAAGTCAAGGGCAATAACTTCAAAAGCATTCATCTGATTATTACTAAATTCGAACTTTACCGAGATATCACCAATATACACATGCATACTAAGTTTCATCAAGATTGAATAAAAACTGTATTTCCCTCTAAAGCCGGACATGAGTGTATAAAAAGCATACAAGATCTTTCATAATGTTGTTGATCTCATCAATTATCCTTCCCAATTCAGTTGTACGATGTATGGACATCCGTTATAGCAATATTATTGATTTCTGGTCATTTCTGATGGCTAAATGGACGTTTATCACAACAGAGACAACAAGAATTGGCTTCCTATCATGACAACTTCAATGCAGTATATAAAACTTGAAAATGCACGACTTACCTCGATCGATACGGCTTTTGCCATGTTACGCTTTTTATGTGCTGTCCATACGTTCTACACAGAGATAATTTGTAATTTTCATTTCTCAGACAATATTGTTATCTGTAAATCATGTTTGTAACCACAGAGTGCAGCCATACAAGTTGTCGTATGTCAGTACATTTTAATATGTTCGACTTATAGTTTGAACAATGATAGGTAATCAATACACGTTGATTCACATGTCACCTTTCTAAGGAATCTGTTTACCTGACCGACTTAATTCCAAATTGCAGATAGTGCGTAGGTATAGACGAACTTAAAAGAAAGATTGTGAAACAACCTACACCTACCATGAATAAGCTTCCATTGTTCATATCGGTTATTTTTGCACTTTCGATATCCGCAATATAGCAAATGTTTTTAACATTCTTATAATAAATTGAAAGTTATTATTTGAAAAAACTACAAGCCCGTGCTGCAGAAAATTTCATGGCAGATTGAATATTTTGTAAAGTTTTCTTACTTATCTCAACTTACAAATGGTAATATGCAGAAATCATGTATACCAAGGTTCATCATGACAAGGGCAATATTTGAAAAACTGTTCATCGAAAAATTGCGACGAATCCAACTCATCCAAGATCACTTCAATATCTTCCGGAGATCTCAACAATATGAATGAATAAGCGTACCGATTTTCATTAAAATCGAATGGAAATTCGACTTTTTGTCGATTATGGAATAGCATGGGAGTAAGTAAATAAAACAATTATATTATCAAATTCATAGACATTCACAGGATTCAAGGAAAGAATTTTTTTTATCGATTTAGAACCATCTGGAAGGAACAATGAATCTGCTTTACTCATTCAGCTAAATAAAGTAGAAATTCGATAAGGATAGTATGATGAAGAGGTCATTGTAGAAATATGGATGCCATATTGACCGTTTGACCCAATTGTTTGACCACAAGTTCCAGTAATAATCGATATTTCATCTGATGAAATGAAACAGAAGAAGGCTATATAGTTAGTGATATTGTAGACAAAGGTGAACGTCTCTTGATATATTGATAATCATTATAGAAATGATTAATCTGCGGTGCCAAACACCGAAATAATTTATTTCTACGAATCGGCATTTTCACGATAGGGGCCTATATTTATATAGTTTTTACGATTGTCCCAATGAGTGAGAAGGTTTACAATAAATTTCGGTGCCGGAATGTGTTTGCTGCAATTTTAAAATATATTTTTATTCTTTTTTTTAGTGAGACTTTTCTTCATTAAATTATGCCTTATATAAAGTAGCGCAATTCAATTGTTCAGATTTTACATGCGACTTTAAACTACCGAATATTACGATTTACGAATTTTTCCACACATCTAACGTCATGCCACGAACTTGCCACGAAATGCTTTATTCAATTTCAATTAGTTATGATAAGTTGTAAAGGAATTAAAATGTTGAGAATGAATAATGTTACTAATAATATTTAATTATTTCCCATCAGATTGAAAGAAATTACCAATAATATGAATGTACCTTAAGGTCAGTACAAATAACAATCACACCCTACAGACCATACCGTGAAAATCAATAGAAAGCTTCATATATTAATTTTCAAATGGAGTTTCTACTATACAGTCATTCCGATGAGATTTCTGAAGGAACGTCTTATATATTCCAAATATTTTCAGACGAATTCTGCTGTTATTTTAAATGTATAATGCTACAAATAAAAGTCTTGGACACTTAAAATGAAAGTAAACCCATCGGTTAAAGAAAGTGTTTGCATTTTAAATATGGAGAAAAATCGAATTCGTAATGTTTAGATCGGCAAAAACATTTTTCTACTCTACAAATGGATGGCTTTAATAATTAATTTTAAAAAGAATGTTGTAAAGTGAAAGTAGAGTTTGAAATGATATATTTCTATTATTGTCGGAAATTGAAATATATAGATATTAACACTCACACCATGAGTTTTAAAACTCTATAAATATTTTCTTTATTTAAACAGGTGTTAAGGTAAGGGTCAAACTCCGGTCGCGTGCATTTCACGTGCCAAACACTGAGAAAACAAAGCTCCATATGATGTTTAAGCTTTAAACGCGTATTTCATTTGGAACACTACAATACCACATGCAAGAAAAACACGTGGAAAGACAGAAAACTGAAAGAACGTCCAGAAAGTTCATTATAATAATACGTTGTAAGTTTACTGTATTGCATTGAAAACACAACACAACATGAGACACTACACAAAAAAAAAGTTTTAAGGGCGGAAAATGTTTTTTTATTTGTTTTTTTTTTTACAAAAAGACACTTTTATATTATGATCACAGCATTTGTCAATGTTCTGATGACTACATAGCTAAAACAACTGAAAATCGCTGCAAACAGTGACTGAATTTGAAAACTTTATCTACTTATCTATTCATTCATGTATTCTCGGGAAGATACAATTATGGTGGCAATAAAGCTAAACTTGTTCAGGGTGAGCTTCTTGATGCCTGGACTCATTGAAAAAAGTTTGATCAACTAAATTGACAAAGACAGTTTAGAGGCATATGCTTCCATTAGCTAATTTCCATTTTAAGGCATATAATTTAATGACATTATCACCAACATTTCCAGTTGATGCCATTATTTGAGGGATGCGTTTGGTATTTGTCGTAGTCCTGAGATATACCACGGTGTGAGGTTCGCGAGGCAAAAGATGGCTGCTACTTATACCTATCAATTCTGGTATCTTCGAATGAATAAACCAAGTACTGACGATCCGAAATGCAAAACGAAACCCTAATGAACTATGCGTAACCTGTACATACAGCAATCAGACCGATAATTTATGTCAGCATGGATACCCCAGGACCAGTTGGCTTAGGTTTGTTGGAACATCTTAATGTTGGACGAAACGGGCCGTAAAAAGGTCGAATCTAACGCATTGTCTTCAACCACTTCAAACCGATATTAGTATCAAACGATATGCCTATCAAAGCATTTGCATCGCAAAGGTGCGAAATATCTGTTTCTGATACGAAACGACCATACTTAGCCGACATAGTTGAGGATGATGTATCAAGCAAATGTTACGTGTGATCCTATGGATTCCCAGTCGAGGCTTTGATATTTTGTCAAACCAAATATCTACATTTAGGACTTTGTATACGCCCACATTGAAATATGGACGTATATTGTCATCGCCCGGTCTGTCCGTCGGTCCGTCAACATTTCTTGTGAACACAATAGAGACTACAGTTTTCATCCGTTTTGAATGAAATTGTTGTGATCATTTATATGGATGAGATCTTGGATTGATTCAAATTTAAGGATTTTTTGATCAACGGTTTTTGAATTATTGCCCTAGACTTAGAAAAAACGCATCAAAATATGTTTGTGAATACAATGGAGACTACAGTTTTCATCGGATTTAATTATATATGGTGTGATCATTTATATTGATGAGATCTTGGACTCATTCAAATTTGATCGATGAAAGGTTTTTGAGTTATTGATTTTGTCTAAGGTAAACGCGTCAAAATTTGTCTGTGAACACAATAGAGGCTACAATTTTTATCGGAGATTAATGAAATTTGCTGTGATCATTTATATTGATGAGATCTTGGTCTAGTACGAATTTGAAGATTTTTCGATGAACAGTTTTTGAGCTATGTGTTGTGAAAAACTCAGTATAAATAACTGACAGTAAATATATATATGAATAAATTCAAACTGCAAATGCATGATGAAGATCCTTAAAATGAGAAAGATTCAATTATCATTTCCGACGGCTGCCAGTGGATGTATATATGTTACCATGTGGATATATTTCCATGACAGATAGTCAAAGTTGAATATTGATTTAGCATTATAACAAATTACGTGTTCCACTATGTCAGGATAAATAATGTTAATAAATAAATGCATATTGAACAGACGAGCAGTTCGACATCCGATTGTCGTCACTTACGACCTACGTCGTTAAAAGCAGTTGTTCCATTTGTACTATGTAATATGAGAAACTTATTATTTTACTGTCAACCATCATGTTATTTTAATAAAGGATAAAAAATGGTAATAAATGATTGTTTCCTGTTGACAGCTGTCGATGCTTAATTATTGAGACTCTGCATCAGTTCTTTTTTTGAAGTTTTCACTGCGACGAACGGAGACATCACTTTATAAATATTTATTGTGAATTTCCATTCAAGTAGTGTTTATGATAATATAATACTATAGGAAATAACTTCCGATTTCTTTCAAGAAATATGGGTGCGATCGTTATGTTCTTGAAGATATTTAGGCTCTACAATACCTGATTTAACACACTTCTCATTTTTTTGGGGTGATTTTAGGTAACCGCAATAACAATGCTCTGATAAAGGATTGTATTAGGCAGCTGGTTTCAAGGCAATCGACATCCGATTTGAGTTATTTTATGCAACTGCGCAATTAATTATCGGGGCCAATTCAAATGGTGTAACTTATTAAAGGGAGATAACTACCAAGACTGGGGATAAATTATTGAGAAACAAGACCGAAGACATCTTGATTAGTTAGTTTGACCATCAGCTGCCCCAATATCAATTTTAAATGATGTATTATATTAAGTGCTCTTCTATGCCTTTTTTTTAAAAATGTAAATGAAGACTGGCAAGGCTCATCAAGTTTAATAATGGAAGTTGTGCATGGACCACACCATAACCGAAGACATAGAATCGCAAATTTTTCAACAGTTCAAATCAGATTGATCAGTCAACAATACCAGCACAACAAATGGTTATGTTGGCGTCAGTGTCGCGCAAAGTACGATGGGGTACAAAAACTTTACAACTTTACAATCCAAACGGAAAACCTCTGCAAGTCCAATATCATTCGAAATGGTAGCGTGTGTGACCACCCAGAGCTTCAATACATCTCATCTTGCTAATTCACTCTCCTCATCTTACTAATTCACTCTCCTCATCTTCCTGATTCCTTTTCCTCAGCTTCCTGATTCCCTCTCTTCATCATCCTGATTGATTCTCCTCATCTTCCTGATTCACTCTCCTCAGCCTATTGATTCACTCTCATCATCTTACTAATTCACTCTTATCATCTTACTGATTCTTTCTCCTCAGCTTCCTGATTCCCTCTCTTCATCATCCTGATTTATTCTCCTCATCTTCCTGATTCCCTCTCTTCATCATTCTGATTTATTCTCCTCAGCTTCCTGATTCCCTCTCTTCATCATCCTGATTTATTCTCCTCATCGTCCTGATTTATTCTCCTCATCTTCCTGATTCCCTCTCTTCATCATTCTGATTTATTCTCCTCATCTTCCTGATTCCCTCTCTTCATCATTCTGATTTATTCTCTCATCTTCCTGATTCCCTCTCCTCATCATCCTGATTTATTCTCCTCATCTTCCTGATTCCCTCTCTTCATCATCCTGATTTATTCTCCTCATCTTCCTGATTCCCTCTCTTCATCATTCTGATTTATTCTCCTCATCTTCCTGATTCCCTCTCCTCATCATCCTGATGTATTCTCCTCATCTTCCTGATTCCCTCTCTTCATCATCCTGATTTATTCTTCTCATCTTCCTGATTCCCTCTCCTGATCGTCCTGATTTATTCTCCTCATCTTCCTGATTCCCTCTCTTCATCATCCTGATTTATTCTCCTCATCTTCCTGATTCCCCCTCTTCATCATCCTGATTTAATCTCCTCATCTTCCTGATTCCCTCTCCTCATCATCCTGATTTATTCTCCTCATCATCCTGATTCCCTCTCTTCATCATCCTGATTTATTCTCCTCATCTTCCCGATTCCCTCTCTTCAATATCCTGATTTATTCTCCTCATCTTCCTGATTCCCTCTCCTCATCATCCTGATTTATTCTCCTCATCTTCCCGATTCACTCTCCTCATCCTCCTGGTTCACTCTCATCATCTTCCTGATTCACTCTCCACATCTCCCTGATTAACTCTTCCCGGAATATTATGACGCCAAGTCTACATATTTTTTAGTCGATATATTACGATTAAACACGTTAAATCGACATATTAAGTCGACATGATGACTTATTATGACGAGAAATGGAGACCCTAAAAATCTCCCATATTTGCCGAACTAACTGAATTTCTAGTTCGATATTCATTGTAGATATACACTGTTCGTCTATGTAACTACTTGCATTTGCACTGTTGGTGTATATTATTAGTATATTGATAGTGTATATTGATAGTAAATGGTGTAGATGGGTATATATTAATGGTAGATGGTGTAGAGTGGTGTATATTATTAGTAGATGGTGTATATTGGTATATATTAAAGTTGATGGTGTATATTGGTGTATGTTAAAGATAGATGGTGTATATTGGTATATATTGATGGTAGATGGTGTCGATTGGTGTATATTAATTGTAGATGATGTAGATTGGTGTATATTAATAGAAGATGATGTTGAGTGGTGTATATTTATAATAGATGTTGTAAAGTGGTGTATATTAATAGAAGATGATGTTGAGTGGTGTGTATTAATAAAAGATGACGTTGAGTGGTGTATATTAATAATGGAAGGAAGGGCGAATATGCCCCCACACCCTGCTTCGCTAGAGACACCCGCTACAATATATATCGTAATGGAGCTTACAAAAGGTTTTTCCAATTGGCCTCAGACTTAAAGTTGGGGCCTCTATTATGTCTTGAGACAGCGAGATAGACCATGCTCACCGTAACACGACGCCATGCAGCAACTCGGCAAACCTTTCAGAAAGTGCACACCGCTAATATTGTTTGGTATATCTAGATTCAAGCTGGAATTTCTCCATTTGGAGATTTGACTTTACAATGGAAGAAGCCTAAAATACAGAAAAAAAAACTATTTGAATACATAAACTAGCAAATAACTAGCACCATAAATGTAACTTCTAAGAAAAAGATATTGTAGTTGTTCAATAACCTTGTTTTCCGTACCCTCGTCTGATCGGATTCTTTAGGACAGCCTCTTAATTTTCTAACTGCTTCCGTGAAATATTTTGCATCATTAATGATGACCATGCTTCCATCCAAATTATCTTTCTGGAAAATCCATCGATAGAGCAATGGATACAAATACCATATGGCTTGAGTTTATCATACCCATCAATGTGCCATACACTGTTTCTAGTAGTAAGTCGGAGATTTTCGAGTTACTAAGTCGGATTTGAAAAAAAAAAATATATGTGGCCTATTTTCGAGTTAATAAGTCGGATTTTTCGAGTTACTAAGTCGGATTTTCGAGTTACTAAGAGTTTGAAAAAAAAATATGTGTGGCACTATACATGTGTGGCACCGTACATGTGTGGCACCGTACATGTCTGAGGCCACGGAAACACTTTTGATGCAGGTAAGAGGGGCTGACATGGAAAAATCGTCAATAAACTGAGGCCCCCTGTGCTAAGAAAAAAAAATACGGATCGAAAGTTTGGTCTAATTTTGATTTGAATATTTACGAATCTGCCTGTATGCGGTCTTGCGTCGTCATTCGGATAAATGTGACTGTTGTTGGCGAAATGGTAAGACTGTCGAGCGAAGACTGTCACCGATGTAACGCTGGGTCACCAGGTTGCCATTAACGATAACCAGTGAAGTCTTCTCTTACCTACAGATCCATGAAACTCCCTAGCACCACCTTTTGAACATGCCGCCGTCCATTCACCCTTTTGGCGATAAACTCTGCCTCTGTCACCTCAGAACCGACTTTCATCACTGAAGACGAACCTCAACCAGTCAGGTCGTTTCCACCGTCGTACAGTTTGTGCCCATCCTAATCTCAGACGATGATGTTGAACTAACAATGTGACCTCAGTTCGTTGTGAAGGTCATTCAGAAAAATAGATGTAAGGTAAAAAAAATCAGGTCATCACGTAGAGTGATCGCCCTGGTTCTGTCCGTTTTGAAATTGCAAGGGACGTAACTGTGAGCATATATTTCTTAAATTTCAATAGTAAAGGGAGCGAACTGATCACAATAGTTTTTATATTATAAGAAAATTCTTGCAAACGACCGCATCAATAAAAAAGCATTTCATGGTGAAAAGACACTTTTCGTAGCAGCTGTGTGTTGACGAAGTGGGTCAAGGTGATTGAGTTTTCTGTGTTATTAACCGTTCTTCAAAATTTAGAGTCTCGGAAAAGTGAATCGTCTTTTAACTTTAGTTTTCAAAAAGCGAATTGATTTTGTGCAGTGGGGAGAAAGTCCACTTGAACCATGCCTTTTAAAACCCGCAGTGGGAAAATGTTCTAATATCACTATATCAATACCAAAATGTTTCATCTGACTTATCATCGATGAGAACTCATTTGTTTTGTTTGAAAAACATATTGCCTTGCCTACAGTGGAAAACAAAACTCAACAAACATTTGTCAGCGTTTCGCTTATTTAACAAAAAATGGATTCATTTAAATTTAATTTGCATTAATAGTATTGAGTATCCAATCTATGTATTTACTAACTCGGGTATATATACTAGGATAATCTGTAGGGCAACCTGTTCTTCTCCAGGAATCTATACCAACAACATACATAGTATCAGTAACATTACAAACAGCTGGGCCACCACTATCTCCCTGAAAAATATAACAAGCGCGAATAATTCACTTTCAATGATTAGCTTAGCTAAAAACATTTTCTGTTTTTGAGGTATTAATGGATAATGAATTTAAAGTTTTTAAGTATACTTACATTACACGATGTGCTGAGACTCAAACCAAAACATATATTAGTCTCTCTTATACCGAAGGTGCCAGTTAAACCATGAGCAGATATACAATCTGGGTTTGATACTACATTGGTAGAGCCAACTTGCAGTGCGTTTGAATGTTGTCCAGAGCCTTCAAAACAAGAAAATACCTGTAATGGTGATCGTATATGAAATTTGATTTTATAAACATTTAAAAAAATACATTTAGATATTATGGAATCTGATTGTATCAAACAAACCTTTGAGAGCTTTATTCTTTACATTTACTTAGAAGAGACGCTGTAGGTGTATTCGGGTATAAAATAAATCATTATATTGAAAATATTGAAAGGTATACAACAATGAAAGCAACAAGTAGCTCTTACTGTTTTTAAGGTAACAAAAATTAAATTCTGCTTTAATATTGTGACGTTAATCACAATTTTGACAGTAATTGGTCACACTTTACTTCGTTAGATCATAAATGACGAAGCTAGTAACGAAACATCCTGATCTTGATGTATACATATTAATGTTTTAAATATATAGGTCATGGACTATTTTATCGTCTCAAAAAGGTACTACCAAAAATGGTGGAAATTAGTAATATTAATTACACCAATCACAAAACAAAATAACCAAACTGCTCCTTTTTTCTAATTTGTAAATATTGTGATTTTTCAGCCCCGTTTCTGTTGGTTATTTATGCACGACTAATGTGGAAATGACTTCCAGGACAGAAACAAAGTATGGCACGTATGGTAACTTTGTCAGATACAAATATTCTCATGCGCTAAAGAAATCATCGCATTTAGTCACCTGGTTCATTATTAATTTTTGTAAACTTTCAAACAATAATTTATCCTTAGTTTAATCAATGTTAGGAAGGAACTGAAGTGAGATTCAAATCAATAGCCTTACCTGCCACTTTGTTCTACAGGATGGGCGTCTTAAATGATTAGATACAAAATCTATATATTATGCTACTGAGAATAACTGAGTGAATGTCAAAATGACTTAATAACTTACTCATGTAACCTTCCAAACCAGAGAAAACAACATAGAAGTACTTTAAAAAAAAACGTTAATAATAAGATATAAAAGCGTCTTCATAGTTATATTTTTAAAAACAAATTGATTGATTATTTTAACAAGTAACGCGCATTTTAATTGATTTCATAATTCTGTCCCCTTATAGAGTATAACACCTAGTCTTCATCATTACATTGTCATTGATTTATAATAGATTATTCCTTTCTAGTGATCGAATGTGTTCCATGGTTTCTAAAAGAGACGGGTTGATATAAACATAACACAAATTTACTTCATTAAAAAGTGACAAATCATTACAATATTCATTTCATTAGTTTCAATATTTCTGACATGTCATTACAATAGAGAATAAAAAAAATTGACAATTTGTTACAATACTTCTTTCAGTAGATAGTAGAATTTGATATGCCGTTACATTACTTATTTCAGGAGTCCGTAAAACTTGACATCTCATTATATAGTTCAGGAGTTATTAAAATCAACATGACATTACGATATTTCAGTAGTTAGTACAATCTGACATGTCATTACAATACTTATTTCAGTAGATAGTAGAACTTGACATGTCATTACATTACTTATTTTAGGAATTAGTAAAACCTGACATGTCATTACAATATTTATTTCAGTAGATAGTAGAAATTGTTTTTAAAAATTGAGCAGACATCTTGGCTTATGTTGTACGCAAAACAGAAAACGGTTAATTTTCCCCAGATACCCGACTCAGTCATTTTTGGGTGTTTACATGCTGCTGAACAAGTGCAAAATATATTTTGATTATGAAAGGGTTGAATCCTCGGATTATAAAAAGGTTTCATCCAAATACATCAAGACTTGTGCCTCGAGAATTTACAAGATGAAAATCAAATGCGTATTGAAAAATAATTGAGGCAAAAATTACAAATTAGAAGCTTCAGGTCCTTTATGAACTGTGACAGAATTCCCATAGTTAAGTTTTCATTACCTTGTGTCGATTCAATTCCATTTGATTAGTAGATGTTCAGTTAAAAAAGCTGTAATCCATATTAATGATGAGCCTTACCTTCCGTGTCTCCCCAGCCAGTAATATAACACCCATTGTTAACAATAAAATCATTAGTGTCATCAACTGGAAGACTTCCATACTTTATTCCAACATTCTCCAGCACTGCAGTTTCTAATCGCAGTAAAGCTAAATCATTGGGATAACCAGTGAAATTCGGATCGTAACTTGGATGCTGTCAAAAAAAGTTTTGGTATAAGTCGTATTAAGATGGCTATTACAAATACAATGACTTGGCCCGCAAGATAGGGTATGACCATGGATTCTGATATAACTTGTAGGCCTAAACATGTGATCGGTTTTAGTTTTTCTTCAGGGGGTCGAAATGTTTCTTGTTTTTTTTTTGTTTTTTTTTTTTTTTTTTTTTTTTTTTTTGTTTTTTTGCTAGACGCCGTTTTCTTTTTCATACTTGGATCCAGAATTCTAAGCGAAGCGGTTTTTCAAGAAAAGTCATTATAATGAAATCATTAAAAGATACAACCTATTGTGATGGAATATGTTATCGGCCTGGGCGCTTCATCACCCAGTAACAACATAAAGAACTTTATGAAAATGCAAAGCAATCGAAAATGTTTACAAGAAACCTTGTCCTTTGTTTTTTTTTAAATCTTAATAATTAAGCAGTAGAAAAATTACCATAAATTTCTGAAGAACATTTGAAGTTACTTGGTGCTCCGATGGAGTTTGCAAGAAATGACCACCAGCAGTAATATGAAGATCAAGCTCTCGTCTAAAATGATCAATATAAGATATCTTAACATCAGTTTGAGTTACACCATGCGAATGTTTTGTCAATTGAACTAGATAAGTATATGAAGCTTTATAGTCATAACTGATAAATTCCATATAAGATTATCTCGTGAAATTCTGTTCTCAGTCACACGCGGATAGCATTTATGTAAAACCTCTTAAACGGATTGTAAGGAGCTTTTGTATGTGTATTGCAATTCCACTAAAACTGAGTGATTGATAATCAATAATCACCAAAAACGACCTTATGTGATACAGCATATTTTTCAATTAGTAAAATCACTTAGTAAAAACCTAGTTATTGTGGTATTGCAAGAACCACAGACGTCTGATTGAAAATTGAAATGGTGCAAATAGATGCTCTCATTTCTCCGAACACACAATCCCATTAAGAATACCATTATTCAGTGTTGTCTTTTTGATTTGATTGCTTTATTTGGCTGTCAAGGAATTAAATTTCTAGGTCAAAAGACTTCACGTGTATACTTACATTCCATCCACGCAATGCGCAGCAGTAAGAACCCATGTACTGTTCAATATAACACCACCACAGATATGATCAGTAACACCATTAATTGTGGATCTTAATGATATCTGCCAAGGATGACTATGTGGTACAGCATTGGTTCCACCAACAATACGTTTACTGTTGGCTTTAACTGAAGTATATTAATGTAAATATATCTCTTGGAAAATTAACTACTTTCCAAAACTGCAGTTATTAAGGACTTAAGTTGTGATCAGTTATACATTTATCCGAAATACACGTCTGAAATCCTGTTTTGCCGATTATGGACAGTATTATAGGAATTGTAGTTTTGAAACACAAAGAGCATCAGTTTCTTTGTCCTAGCCTACCCACAGACATTCTACACCACGGAGTCGAACCTAAATCCTCATATGAAATGCTTATCTAAGCCAACAGAGATCAATGTTGTGAGGTAATGTGATCAATCTTTAAGCATATATTAAGATAGCTTGCCAGGCAAGTTAATATACGCCCACTGGCAGCTTTGATTTTGAATAAAAATATTTAGCAGTACAGTAACAATCACCAGTATGAAATATTCAACCTTCAGTCATACACTTCTTTTGAACTCTCTAGGGCGATACTGAATAATATTGAGTATGAGTTATTGCCCTTGTTCTTGAAAACGTGTTCAATTTTTAGCTCGTGAAAACTCTAGAAGGCAAATATTCAATCTTCAGCGCGGGGCTGAATAATAAAACCAAGTTTTGTCAAAATCCAGCAAGAATCATGCCTTTTAGTGTTTAAGAGCTAAATTTGAAAGCGTTTTCAAGAACAAGGGCAATAACTCATACTAAAAATTCTTCTGATATACAATAGGGTTCATCAAAATCCGTCAAGAATTGTGCCTTCTGGAGTGTTTACGATCTGAAAAATTGAACGAGTTTTCAGTAGCAAGGGCAATAACTCAATAACTAATTATTATTCGATTTTTCTGATTTTCAATAGGGTTTATCCTTGGATTATAACAAACACTCATGTCAAGTTTCGTCAATATGCACCAAGAATTGTGCCTTCTAGAGTGTTTACGAGCTAAAAATTGAACGCGTTTTCAAGACCAATGGCAATAACTCATACTAAATATTTTTTTTGATTCTTCTGATTTTCAATAGGGTTCATCCTTGGGTGATTACGAACACTCATGCCAAGTTTCGTTAAAATCCATCAAGAATTGTGTCTTGTAGATTGTTTACGAGCAATTGTGGACGGACCGACGGGCGGACGGATATGGGTGACGGCAATATACGCCCCCCATTTCATGTGGGCGTATAAAAATTGTTCTTAAGGAGTTAACGTCGTCCATAGTATCTAGAGATCCAAGGCGAATTGAAATGCCACTGTATGTACGCCACTAAAATCTGCAAAGATATATCAGGTTACAATTCCTTTTACCCTTACTACTAATCATAATAGGATCCCATCTCGAATTAATAGAACCTCCAAAAGAGAACGTTCACTAAAAATATTATATCCATATCAATCATATTTGTAAAGACTGAATAGACAACGTTAAAATATCTCTGCATTCTCCGCTCAGTGCATAGTGTTAATTGTACCTCTTAAATGTTATAACATACCTTCAACTAGTAGTACAAGTACATATAATATGCATGCCAGGAACGAATGACACCTTTTCATTTCGAACTTGATAACAGGTGACAAAATGATTCAGTTTTCAGTCTAGAAAATATGCTGCTTTCTCACGAAATTCGCTGATAAGAAACGTTTATTCAATAACTATTGTGATTATAATTTGTGTAAGCGGGAGCTTCTAGAAATCTGTTGTCAGAATTTCATTTGGTTTTTGAGTGGGCAGTTAAAAAGAAGGCAAATCCCAGCCATAAATAATTAGATGATAGACACTTTACAACCTACAGAAAACTATTGAATTCACCCAACAAAACCTCCACAGATAAAACAACTCGCCTGGATGTTTATTTTCAAAAAAGTGTTGCTCATTGAGAGTGTTCAGGTGAACAGGTTATGGAAAACAGAAAAAAACAACCGATAGAATATATCTTCATGTGAGTCTTGAAAGAAGGGGTTTTCAACCTTGTATTACCCCTAAGGTAGTAATTTTGGGGAATTTTTGAGCAGTAATGAGTCTATAATAAAATGTTTGGACAATTGTATGCCTAATTTGAGTCGTTCTATTCGGCCAGGCTATATTCTCCGACATGATTTTAGGGAAAACCTAATCATGAAATAGTAAGGATTTATAGGGTGAAGGGGTAATACAATCGATCAAGGACCCTGGAAGACAAAATACAAAAGAAAAAAATTGAAAACCCATGTTTTAAAGAGTCACTTCCATACCTTCAGAAGAAATTTCAATATTTTTCCACAATGAAGTCGATGAATAGGTCATGTCCATCTGTCTGGGAAATTATGGAAGTCTCAACGACGTCATTATAACATGAGCATGTGAAAATAAAACCTAATTCAAAATGGACACGACATGCTTTAAAGTCACAGTAAACATGCGTGAGTTAGTTTATTTGAATAAATCACCCTCAGTCATAATTATCGTCGATTGAGCTCCTATGAGTACGTTAAATCCGGGAAAGATGAATGCCAAGAGATTATTTGTACTCACAAACTGAAAAGGAGAGAGTGGTGAGGACAGGTAGAGAGAAAGAAGAATGGCAAAGGACACGTGGAAGTGAATTAATACGGTAAAAGAATGGGCAGTTGAAAATACGGGTTATAGGGAAGTTGAGTATAGGGGTAAGGTACTGGACGACTCTGGAGTTAAGAGTATCGGACAGTATGGAAAGAAGCAGTTCTAAGGTAACGACTAAAGATGTACTATTACCACGGGGAAGAAGGGTCAACTGGAAGTAGAGAGGTTGGGAATTAAAGGTTAATACCCAAGATTGGTAATCAGAGGGAAAAGATGCGATTGACAAGGTCAGAACGGTGTACCAGAGTGAGAAGATGATAGGTGAAGATATGGTAGTGAGGCCGTTTGTTGGGAGTAGAGCTGTAGAAGTGTATTCGGGGGGAGGGGGTATTCTCTTATATTGAGAGATACTTATTGTATCTCTGTGCAATGCTTCGAATTACAGTACTCCGAAGGCTTTCTATTGGTCATTTCTGTAACCGAGACGACACTATCTGTGAATTTCGACTAAAATTCTATTTAAATCATTTTCATAAGAAGCCTCAGTGGTCAAACAAAATTGCAAAGAATTACTTCCCTTGAAATAGAACGTATGAAAAACGTTGATATCTAAATAAAAAAAATTTCATTTCACAAAAATTCGGTAACAATTCAAAATGCTCTGGTTGTAGATTTCAAATCGATCTCGTCAATGACATCTAAAATAGTATAATAATACATGTTATAATTTAATAATCAATTATTGAAAGATAAGATCCAGCAAAACATTCCATAGTTCTTCAAAGTTTATAGTTGCGTAATCTTACTTAGACTTGTAAGCCGCCGATCACTGTTACAAATTTTGTTTTTGGCTAATTATAAGAAAAATTAGATGGCAAAAAGGATTATTGTGAGCTCATGACATGATTTTTTTTCTAATGATATGATAAGAGTTTATTTTCACAAAAAAATTTCTTAGGCATCATTATTATCCATTATAATTCATTAAAGGCTGTTTTTGAAAGAAATAAAATATATTATATTTTTTTTTTATATATTTTTGGATTGTCGTCCTTTAAGTGAACAGGTGTAATAGTTGGTGTTAATTTGTGACAAACTCGACTATATCCAAGGTTACAATTACTATTGTTCACACCTGGTACAGTTTTCAACATGATAACCTCACCCCAATTTATTTCTTCATGTATTCGTCAAACTGTCCAGTGGTAAGTTTTATATTGGTTAATATTAAGTGTTTGGTACGGAAATGGAGCTGACAATTTGGGACTTCTTTCAAGCAATAGAATAGATAAAATAATATTATAATGTAACATTATAGGTAACATGTTTATGAAATTGCACAAAATAATGTTTCAATTTTTGATGAATCGAGTTACACGATATATCACTAATTCTTTAAATCCTAAAGGATACCTATGATTTGAAATGTGCCAGCGTCTCCTGAAAGTATAGGCCTATAACATTCGAACCTGGTATTCCATTCCCATAGATTCGTGTCATGTTTTCGTGCTTATGGCTGATATCTCTGTACATTACATCTATGACTAATATTAGACAAAAATCGACATTTTGATGAAGTAAAGGAGAATCTTTGAATAATTTAATCGTATGCCTGCTGGAATCTTCATTTAGCCCTATTTCCCCCAACTCAATTATGTATTTATTATTTACATTATAAGCGTAGGGGAGCGTCTATTTTGGACCTTCGGACACCCTTGGTGCTATAATTGTAACTGTAAATTTAATTTTCTTCAGATTGGTTTATACAAGATGGTACCAACTACCAAATTATTGAGATTTATTAAGTCTCCATTCATCATATCAACGTGCCTGTTCTTATTCATATATTCTACACTATTACGTCATCACAGTGATAACCATGTAACTATGAAAAGAAGTTATAGCAGAAATACAACTATATTTATATCATCATCATTACAACGAGAAATAGAGGGTTTATGTCCTTTATTAGAACCCAGTGAAAATGATTTAATTATTCTGCAAGGACGAATGCATCGAAAAACTTCACATTTGTCTACACAGGATAACAAACTCATCTGTGACGTCATCAAAATGTGTGATCGGTTTTCATACACGGTGCAATGTCGAACAACTGAATGTGGGCAATATCGCGTGGATTTTACCTTGAATAAAAGTTCCAAATCGAATATCACTATGGATTTATTAGAGAAGATTATATTTGATCAGATATTTGGTGATAGAGATCATGATGGTGATATTGGTAGTAAAATACAAGTATTCTGTGAGAAAACGTACCTCAGTAAAGTTCTTCAACCTGTTCGACTCAGTTTAGATATTGAGTACTCTGAAAACAAGTTCTGTTATGATAACGACCAAATTTTGCAAAATATACACAACTCACAAGAACTGTTTCCATTGGATGCCCGTGTTTTCCATTTCACCCATATTTCCAGGAATGAGTTCATTTCTAAATTCAACAATTTCGCATCTGTTCATTTGAGTTTGGTCAATGAGAAAGTGGAAGTGATTGATTTTAAACGAGTTCAGGCTGAACATTGGGATGAACAGAAAATGTTGGGTCGAGTTCTACCCGATATTATATATACTGATCAACATTCAAAACTGAATAACATTTGCTTTAATATTGTGGATTTAGCTTGTAATATTTCCTATCCAAGACATAAATTCTTTCACAAATTTTTGATCAACTCGAATGGTCCTTGTAGAAAATTCATTGGCGTTTTAGCTGAGAATCGCGAATTAGTACAAAGTTTTTGTAACAGAATTTCAAATTCTCAAAAGGGACCAAATACTAAAGGAGGAGTTTCATATTATTATGATTTTTATTCATTATTTACAATGGCACATATAACTAATACATTTGAACAAACGCTTCTCAGTACATCCATGGTGAATCTTTCCGAAGTTCGCTCGCATCAAATTGAACATATGGACAAAGCATTAACTAATATAGTTTCAGAACTATTGGCTAAACAGAACAGTATCGTGATTTTAGCAAGTGATGCTGGCAGACCATCTACTTTATCATTAAAAAGTAAAGAGTTCTTCCATGTTGAGAATAGTAACCCTATGTTCTTTATCTTACTACCAAAGCGACTGAGATTAAGCTTGGGTGAAGATTTGACGTCTATTTTAAAGATGAATAGTTTTAGGCTCATATCAACCGCAGATATACAAGAAACCATTATAGATTTGATGGAAAAGTCGGCAAGGATTCAGAAATCTGGTAGCGAATACATTGGTAAGGATGCTAGTTCCGGACACTCTATGCTAGATCCCTTGACGAAATCACGAAGTTGTTCTCAATTAAATATCGCGCCACCATTATTATGTATCTGTGAGGGTGTCTTCGCTTCTTATCCTAACGACTCTATTCAGACTGCTTTTGTGGAATTTGCTATCGGGACTATAAATAAAGAGCTCAGTGAAAACAACGCAACCTGTAGTTTTATAAGTGGGGTGATGTTTAGTAATATAAGAATAGCTCATAATCGTGGATCTCGATTAATGAAATTTGATTTAGATGTCAATTTAGATCGTTATGGGACCATTTACCAAATAAATGATCTGGAGATTGCTTTTAATGGTTTCAGTTCTCTCAGGAATTTTGATATCAAAATGAAAGAATTGGATTTCAAAGACAAGAAAATTTTATCAGAATTTTCGCAATTTGGTTGTACGTCTCTTAGTGGTGTGGATGTTTCGTATCCATTGAATTTAGATTATGCTAATTTAAAAGGCTTCGGTGTGGATCCCGAGATTGTGCCACTTCATCAGCAATGTCTTATGTTAGTGGTAAGAAACTATGGGGACAGTGTAACTTATATTATTGGTAATTTCTGTGAATCTCGGCAATATCGTGTTATGTTCAACTTGGAATTATTCCAGATGATATCAACTGTCCCTTTGCCAGTTTCCTTAATATTAGACTCCGGAGATGTCAAATTCTTGTGTTCTATAACTAAACAATCGTATAACATACGTAAATTTTCACATACTTATCAATATGATATACATTATGATATCTACCCTTAAAATGGTTTTTAATGCAATAAAGATGCTATAAAATAAATCTGTCTTTTCCTTATATTTTCTAGGACAGTATGTAGCACACTGATAAGGTACGAACATATCACAATTTAAATTCAAATGAAACATCACCAACTCCAATGATAGATGTCCGATAGTCAAATGTTTGACAGCATTTTTATACAAGTACATGTATACATGTCTTCACATAAAAACTGTCAAGTGGTGGAGTATAGTTGGGGCCGGCCTCTATGTAAAGGACGCCGTCGGGTGCACATCCCCCACAATTACCACCACAATAGCCCCCTATAACATTACCATCTGGGGATCTAGTAATATATGCAATGACTCCGTTTGTACCAATAGTCGTCCAATTAATTGATGCCTTAACTCTTAACCCTGTACCGCGAGTGTTGATGATAAATCTACCAAGAACACTACATTCACTGCTGTTCGTTCTGGCATAACAGTCTCCAGCATGGCCATAATTTTGTTCTGTGTATGTTGAATTAGTGCAATGACGTAATTTAATTTTGATGTTAGCAGGGAACAATTTAAGTTCACTTTTTGGTAATTTGTGTACCCTTGACCATTTGAAATGTCGTCAATCAAATCACAGGAACCGTTGTTTCGTATGAATGCAGGTTTGGACGCCGTATTGTATTCAGTTAGTGTTATATATGCACCAACTCCAATTTTGCAATGTACCTTTTGTAGTTTTTGAGTTCCGTTCAAGTAAATCCAGTAATGTTTATTTTCTATCACAGAACAAACTTTATTATCACCACACTGCACAAATCTTTTACATGTAAAAGAACTTCACGTCCCAGATGTTAAACAAGTAGCATTGGTTACTGTAAAATAACCTCGAGTACACGCATATTCTACCGTTTCACCAAAGTTCCACAATGGTTTATTGGAAAAAGAGGCAAAGTTGATATTGTTAACATATATAGCGTTACATCTTATTGGCTGACAATAATATCCACCCTTTTCTACCATACATATTGTATTATTAGTCCAAATGTGATTTGTACACCCGTCTAGCATATAATCATTCCATTTGGTGACTTCAATATAAAAATATTCATTATCGGAAATCAATTGCCCCTTTATTGCCAGAAGTGAACAGTCTAATTTCCGTTTATTAAAATTCACATAATTACACAATGAATGTAACATATTCTAACACAATCCACAGGTTCTAAAGACGAGATAGTACGAAACGACACGGTGTTAATTCTCAAGTTGTTTGATAACGATAAATCGGTACCTGGTTTAATACATTGGTTTCCAATACAAATATTTACTATTATAGTATACTTATCACGAAGATCACAACATGCGCTCCACTCGTTGCCATCTTTAAGAATTTCGTTCTGTGTAAACCACTAATCAGTTGACTATCTAAGATCTAAACTACTTATTTCTTGACTAAAACCTGTTTTTATATGTAAATTATATTTCTTAAGAATCGATAAGTAAGCTATAAATATTAGAAGTAACATAAAATTTAAGAATTTTAAATTGGCCAGTAGATATACCTTGTGTCATAAATAACATAACAGGATCCTTAAAATAATCCAATAAATCCAAACAAATTAGTAAGTATCCATAAATATGCAATTAACTATTGAAAAACGCTTAATATTTGGGATTGATACCAGGTAAGCTAACTGATGAATATATACTCATATTGACCTTTTCCAGAAAATAAATTATGTTCATTCTAAGACATGCTATCACTTTAAGTGAGAAGAATTTTCACAATTTGAAATCTCAAACAATCATTCAATGATTTTCAATATCATTTAGTTTTAAATTTAGTGTTTGCTAGGAAACAATGTGGGGTGTATTATATTATGTAGAAATATCAACGACTTTAAAAAACAATGGCATGGAAAAGTTACTAAACTATAGTTGGTTCCTCCATCTTTAAAGAGCCATGTCTGTTTGACCAATCGTACTTTAGTCTCAGAAACTGGAATTTCTTCTAGCTAATCTAATCAGTAATAGTGTTCAAAGCTCACTGTCGAAATTTGAATCAGCAAATGCATACCCAAGTTTGTTGATTGTGTTTACTGACCGCAGATCTTGTTTACCTACCGTATATAGTTGTGAATCTGGTATGTTTACCCTAGTTTGCTGGGCGTACCTACTTACTCTAAATGTAGGTCTTTATTACTTACATTTGTTGATGGTATTGTATACTTTCTTGTTGATCGTGTATACTCATCATCTTATATAAAATTAACCCTTTTAGTTGATAACGTATATTTCATCTATTTGGCGAATCCTGTATACTAACCTTGTATATTTGCCTTAGTAGTGTATCTTGTATATTTGCCTTAGTAGTGTATCTTGTATATTTGCCTTAGTAGTGTAGGCCTATCTTTATATTTGATCCTAAATTAAATTCAAATCACTTTCTGCTCCCCAAGTTTTACTCGATTTCTATTACATCTATAAGTATACCGCCATGAACAACATCTGTTTTCTACCTCCAAATCTCAAAATTCGTCTTTGATCAAATTATTTATTGAAAGCCAACACAGTCTCCAATTGACCAGCCCAGCTGTCTTTGTCTGTAGCTTCGTTTGTGGTTGTGGACGGACAGAATACTTGGTGCAAATTTTCTTTCATATGTTTATATAATAATTAACTATTTAATTGATTAAATAATCAAACTACTTAATTGTTAACTTATTATATATTTATATTAGTTTGCTAATTCATTTATTTATATTCATTTATTTTTTCTATATTTTAGTGCATTGTATTTGGTGACGAATTAACATAAACCTCAGCTTGTTTCCAAAACTCTTTTTATACTATATAAAAATTATGTACTTTTACTTCTGAAGACTATTTACATTTTTTTTAAGACTCAAACCAATCCCCGAAAATGACGAGTCCTGGCCTTTAATACTTTTTATCCCGTTATAGCTTGACCTCACATGAACAAATTTAAGAACCAACAATGTATCTTATTTATGTGAGTTGTCATTAATTGTTAGCAAAAGCTAAAAAGTTGTCAATAATCACCAATTATATTTAAGTAGTCTCTGTCATAGTATTCAGTGATGACAAGAAAACCTTTAAAAGAAAAGTGCAAAAGTGCTCTATCTGTGAAGAAGATATTATTCAGGATCAACCATTTACAACCCAATTGATTAAAGATTTCATAGTCTAAAAAACTTGATAGTGTGTAATCAAAGCATGGTAGCTTTAAATTGAATTATCGTATCGAGGATTCGTCAAAAGGATTGGCAACCCCTCTCTTTAAAAACAATGTGTAAATCTTGAAAGTTAATATTTTAATCATAAAAGTTAAGCCCACTTCCCTGCATGTAATGATGTTTTTCGATTGCAGTATTAATTTTCAGCTCAAAGGTATAATAAAAGAATGATTATTTTCAACAAACAAAAAGTTTTGTCTCCTTCAATCTTTTTCTGGGCTTCTAGACAACAAATCTAGAAATAGTGGGGATTTTTAACCCTGTAGTATTCAATCGAAAGTAGCCTATACGTGTTCTTATGATGGGGATAATACTACAAGTCCATACTTAGATTTTCTTTTTATTTTGTATCCTATGATTCCGGTCTCACACTTTTCCATGGGGGAGGTAATTCTACATGTGTCTTTTCACAGTAGCCAATCAATATCAATCAATTTCAATGTCTATGTTTTCAAAAGATGAATAATAGGATAATGACCGAGGACGAGTTTTTATCAGGTTAAGAAAGCCAGGGAGAGATAAAGGCGGTCACTATCCATCTTTTATAGGCCTCCCTCAAAAAATGTAATTATGTTAGAGGGCCGACCAAGCCTAAATTTTGTCGGAAATCTGATCAGCTGGTGGTGTAAGACCCTCACTGTGCCTAAATTAAACTGAAAGCTAATAAAAAACGGAAGGTCTAATGTAATTAAACTGAATGATCAATTTTCGAAAGACTAGTAGCTCCTGACTAACTCCCACCTGCATCAATGAATACTAAGATATTAAATCCAAATATATCGTTATCGAATCCAATATCTTCATGTTGGTGAGCAATAACCAAGGGGCCACACCCACTTCTACTTGAATATATAGGGTCTCGTATTTTCATTTCTCTGTGTGGTCAAAGGGGGATAATATGAAATAAATGTGGTCTGTAGCCTACAGTGTAAGATGACTTGTATTGTATGTCATACTAGCTATCATTCTACATTTACTATGTGATATGATCTAGCAACATGATGAATCGAAATCACAACCTGCAATTTATATCAAATTATCATATTATATCAAGACTTCTTTTTACTCTGTGGTAATGATCTAGTTTCAGAATAGTACAGAACATTGAATCGAACGCACTTTCACAACAGTTGCAACAGTTTTAAAGGGGAGACAAATCTTATCGGATAATTCCCTTTCCGGTTTGTAGGTGAACATTGGGAAAAAAGCCAACATCTGCAACAATCCCTTTTTTCAAGAATTTGTGGATGGAAATTATCCTCTTGGCTCCATCCTTGATGTGAGAGAAAAGTACAGGTATTTTGTAAAATAGTTTAATTCATGACCTATTATAATTTCTTGGTGGATTTATCACTCAGCAGTAACATTGATCCTTTTGAAATTTGCAGGTTCCCCTCCTACCTCTAACCTATGATTTCATAAATGATGGCCTCCCGTCATGAATAACCTTCTATTGTCCTACCTTCTATTGTTCTAGACATGTTTGGAACATATTTAGACCATGCTTTGTCCTCAAATACAAATGTTATATACTCAAAAGTGTATATTAGTATCAGCATTATAAAAGCATAGTTTGATATAGTTCTTGCTGAATCGAGTGTTAAAAAATATTATCTTTTGTCTTAAATTTCATTGTCTATATCACAGGCATTTGTTTTCATTTCCCACAAAATGTATAAAATCTATATATAAGGTTTGTAGCGAGAAGAAATTCAATTCAAATACCGGTACAGGTATACATTGTGTTGCATTATTTTAATGATTTTA